CATATGTATCTAGTACCGCAGTAAAAAATATATGAACCTCATATATTTCATTGTATCTCATTTATCACTTTCACGGGTTTATTACGAATCAACTTAACGGCCTGCTCCCAGTTGGCTTGTTAGCTCAATTGGTAGAGCACTGCACTAGTATCGCAGAGGTCAGTGGTTCAAATCCCGTACAGGCCTGATTTTTTTCAGGTCTGATTTTTGCTATTGCTTAAATAGCGCTATCTACTGCGAGGATCGTGCATCATATGTATCTAGTACCGCAGTAAAAAATATATGAACCTCATATATTTCATTGTATCTCATTTATCACTTTCACGGGTTTGTTACGAATCAACTTAACGACCTGCTCCCAGTTGGCTTGTTAGCTCAATTGGTAGAGCACTGCACTAGTATCGCAGAGGTCAGTGGTTCAAATCCCGTACAGGCCTGATTTTTTTCAGGTCTGATTTTTGCTATTGCTTAAATAGCGCTATCTACTGCGAGGATCGTGCATCATATGTATCTAATAGCGCAGTACAAAATATATGAACTTCATATATTTCATTGTATCTCATAATCATTGTTATTTTACCGTTGGTTTTTAAATGAACTATTGTGAATCACTTTACCGTCTCGTATGCTGTTATTGTTAAATTATATGTCGTGATTCACTTTAACGGTATATGTGTTGTTTAATGATATGTCGTTGTTTTTTAAATGATCTATTGTGAATCACTTTGCCGTTGCGTGTGCTGTTATTGTTAAATTATATGTCGTGATTCACTTTAACGGCGTGTGTGTTGTTGAATGATATGTCGTTGTTTTTTAAATGATCTATTGTGAATCACTTTTCCGTTGCATGTGTTGTTATTGATAAATTATATATCGTGATTCACTTTAACGGCGTATGTGTTGTTGAATGATATGTCGTTGTTTTTTAAATGATCTATTGTGAATCACTTTGCCGTTGCGTGTTGATAAATTATATGTCGTGATTCACATGTGTGTTGTTAAATGATACGCCGTTGGTTTTTGAATTATATGCCTTTACGTGTGTGTAAATAGTCAATGTTGTTTAAATTATAAGGGTAAAAGAACATTTGAGGCGGAGTTTGGTGACGATGGCATATCGGATACAGAGATGGTCGATGTGGGTAGCATCTACGACACTCCTATTTCACAAATATCCGACGAACAACTGATCGAACTGGGAGAAGAGTTGGACAAAGAGTTATCGTTATTATTCCATTTCGATTTTCAGCCGGTGGGCCAACCCAAGAAAGCCCTCAACACCGTAAAGAAACAGCGTGGAGTGGCACAAAAAAGACAACTGCGCCCCGCTTCTAAACGTGACAACATTGGGGAGGAGATTACATGTGGCGTGGCTGACATGGCGCGTCTCGTGATCGAGAATTCTAAGTCACCCAATGGAAAACAGCTGAAAGAATCCGATAGGGTCATGTTTAATTTATCCACAGAAAAGTTTAGCCATCCTCTGCAATCAGCTGAATTCACCGTGGCCGAAATCAGCAATGACACCACACGATTTGAAGGCTACATGCAGACGTTGGCTAACTAACTCAAACGAGAGTTTTGACGTCGACGACGAGGTTTAAGTCGACATGACGATCATTACGGAACCCGATGCCGGCGGCAGAACAGCCCTCTCCATCTTAGGGAAATTAAACATGACCACCGTCCTTCGCAAGAAACGCTGTATCCTACCCATCAAGAATTCAGATGACAGCCTTTCCCTGGCCCGAGCCATTTGCCTGACCAAAGCTCAACTTCACAAAGATGATGATCGAGAAAGCCTAAGTCACTACAACAATCTTCGTCACCACCCATCGGTTCTAACCCGATGCGTTAATAACAATAACTGAATCTGAAATTCAGGTCTCCTCATTTGTTTAATTGAGAGACCATCTTGGAGCACTTACCAAAAGGCAAAAATGTCTACCTTTTTATAAAAAGTTTCAGTGAAAACTCATTATTGTTGTTTACGCTAGTACAATACACACTATGCATAATGAAAATTTGCTTGGGAAGCCTGGTAACAGGTTCGCATGAAAGTGAGGTCGGTTGGGCCACTCTGTGTTTGCAAAGCTGAATCTCTTAGAATTTGTGTCATTTTTCAACACTTTTGGTTTAATTTGTGTATTTGCCGATCGATGCCTTTGAACTTTTGTGTTCCCCAGTGTACCTTCAAGGGTTATCGGAATGCAGGAGGAGACAAAGTTTCTTTTTTTAACTTTCCAAAGGACCCTAATTTACGTAAGAGTTGGATTCATGCGATTCGAAGAGGGGCCGTAAGGGGGTTTCACGTGAAACGTGATC